ATGAAGAACAAGTGCAGCAACGATTCTTTAAAAGAAAAAGAGACAAACACCTCTTAGAGTGCATGGGTCTAAATTTTTCCCTTTACACTATCCGAGTGGGGACAAATAACACTTTCAGAAAAGTAATTACTTACACCTTAAATTCACAATTTTGTTATCCACCCAAACATTGTTCATGTTCTATTAAAGAAAAATTTTGAAGACTAAAACTTCAATACAATAGTTTTTTTACCTTTATTTATGCATTTCTATCTTTGATTTTTCCCAAAATGAACTTAGCTTGTATAGTAGAGTTTAATTCAATTTTTAAAGTTGAGTCTAAAAAATTGTGCATTTATTGTAGTTGATTTTGACTTTTTGAAATTTTGTTTGAAATATGAATACATAAAACTCAAAACTTAGGATTTAATTGCATTTTAAAATAATATTATGCAAAATATCTGGCCTGCATCTTGCAAAATAAGATATCACGTAATTTTTAAAAACTACATAAATAATTCGACTATATACGAAAGGCTCTATATTTCTCATGGCTCAGTCGAATATTAATTGGCAACTGTTGATTGATTAGTTCGCTTCAATGACTTTGGTATGGAATATTAATTGGCATCCATAAACATTTGCAGAAATTTCTAGTGCCTTTAAAGGTAAATAAAGCTGCGAATGAGGGAGCCGGTGATTCATGTTGATTTTGACAATTAATCTGGGAGATTATTACTATAGGTAAGCTACCAGATTATTCTTGTGTCGGAGTTGGCGACTATTGCTGAAGATGACTAGTGAGTTGTTCTTAATATATATATATATATATATATTTGGTAGATGACTTTGGTAGATGACTGTGGTAGACAGTAATCTGCAACAGTGGTAGACAATGATCTATCATCTATCATAGTAATCTATTGACGATTAGTATCGGCAACGACTAATAATTTCTGCTGAAATGGCAACATAATCCCTAGATTACTTTTTGTAACCTAATAGATTACTCCGTTGACCGACGCTGACCATTGATAATGACTACATAATTTTGTAGCTTATTGGTGGTAATCAAGTATCTTTGACATCTGGTGCCGATGATTCACTGCGATAATTTTGGTAAAATATTATTTTATGACCTTTGACAATTCCTCTAAAGTGGCAAAATTCCTAACATGGCATTCATAAGATTCCATGCACAAGGCCTTTGTAAGAAAGGTGGGTTCCTGCTTTCCATCATGGGTTCATAATCAAAGCTTAATATTGAGCCTTCAAGTTCAAAATGTTTGTATGTTTATATCCTTTTGTTTGTTAATTTTCTTGAGATATATTACAACAAAACGAAATTGTGAAATATATGCAAACCAGGCCATTTGTTATCAATAATTCAAAATGGTCTTAATTAAAAAAACTGCAAATTTCATGTTTTTGAATGGCATAAATCAAATTTTTTCCTTTTTCTTTCCTATTAATCATGATTGGTCAGATCGCTTAAGCGAATTAAACACAAATTATCAGCATTAATTACCAGCATAGTTAAACAACAAATTGTTCAACAACTGCATATTAATTCAAGCAAAATTCACATTAAAAGTCCATATTTATTCGAATACTACTAAATAAAGTATGTCATCTTTCCATCCTTATTATTTTCGTCTTCATAGGACTGATTCTTGAAACAACGAACAGAAGAGATGATCATACACCCACTTGTCTTTCCTAGCCTTTTTTGACTTCATTAACATGCTGTTTCACTTCAGAATCTGCATGAAAATAGATCACGTGCCACAAATCAAGCTTCATGACTAGTTCAAGAATCCGGGAACTTCATGTTAAATACAAACTTAAAATGTAATACTATTGAAGCAAATGCTGAACATTGCATGTGATCCAGCCAAACTATAATATAAAGAAAATATTGGTGGAAAACATTCTTAGAGCTTAATATATAGAAGACAAAATATAATTTTTTTTTTAGAGAATTGACTAATCTTTAGTATATAGTACTAGACTAGATATATTTAAAAAAAAAAATCGAAACATATTATATCACTTAAATATTTGGGAAACAAATTGATAAGTGTTCTCTTCCATGAGCGACTAATATTATAGAACGTGATAAGCTTATAAGAAATTAGGGACTAACAATTACATCAAAAACCTAACAATCAGAAAATGCAGAAAAGAAAGAGAGAAAAGAAAATAAGGAAGTACAAAGATGATCACATTGAGAAATATATTTTTGAGTTTTGGTTAGCTGTCTTTAGGGACATCATTTAATGAAAGTTGTTCTAAAACCACTAATGTCTTTATCAACTTGTTCTAAAACCACTAATGTCTTTATCAACTTGTTTATTACAAAGCAGAGCAGAAAGTGGGGCGGGACCAACAAATAGACTTTGCCGACATTGTAAAACAAAAAAAAGTTGGAATCCTAAGACAAGGCAGTAAATGTGTGAGAATTACTTTACCTGGACCGCATCGGATCCTGCACTTACCTTCACACCGTTGCATAAGCCTTGCTGCATAATATTCAACAAAAATAAATATCGATTTGCGCTTTTAATCTTGCTCTTCAGACCCGTGTTCCTTAAATTCTCAATAATAGTAACACAACCGAAAAGACAGAATTTAGCTACAAGACTGAAACTAACTAATAATAGTAACACAACCGAAAATTATCTTCACTTAATTTCCTCATCAAAATTAAACTCACCAAAGCTTTTTCTTGGACATTGGTATTTTTATGGTCTAGTTTGGTTCATGAGTCCAATTAAACATGAGTTTTAATTCTGTTACAGTATTTTTTCTTTAATTTAAAAATTTCCCGCCTATTAATTCTCTCACAAAATTTAAATGCGGAATTAAAACTATTGATTTGAGGCCATGAACCGAACAGATCCTATGTTTTCTGAAGAGGGTTTTAGAACTTACTGTTGCCTTGAACGCAGCCAGTGTAGCAAGCGTCAATGCAGTCTTCCGGACCGGCGGTGGCCATTTCCGAATAGGAAAGCGCCAAGAGAAGAACGAAAACGGCAATCCCTGTTTTCTTCATCATCACCGTATCCTGATCTTCTGCACTTGGTTTAATTCCTTTTTCTATTTCTTTAGATGTCTTTGCTTCTTCTTTTCTTTTTTGGTTGTTGAAGTAGTGATTGCTGAATTATTGTTTTTGCTTTTATAGACGATTTGCAACTTAATTGCCCATGTTTTTGCATGAGTTCTACCAAAATGCCATTTAGCGTTTGTGTCTATCACATGTGCCTACTTTATTTTCCTATTTAAAATAGAGCCGCCATTGTTTGCTCTCCATTCGGCACCATAATGGTTTGAAAGCGGCGAAATTGACCCCGTATGATATGACTGCTTATAGTAGGAATTGTGACATTTTTTTTTTAATTGTGCAAATCAAACAATTTGGATCAGTGTTTCATGGCTGCCTCAAGGCGGTGGTCTTTCAGTTTTTCACTGTTTCAAGCCTAAAAATCAATGTAAAGGCTCCAAGCCCAAACTCATATCTGCCAAAAAGCAGCACAATTAATTTAGAGAGAGAGAGAGAGAGAGAGAGAGAGAGAGAGAGAGAGAGAATTCTGAAAGAGTAACGTTACTCAAGACCAAGAGGCAAGAGTGCAGACTTCAAAGGCACCCCTATAGGTTGCTAAAAATAAGAGGGAGAAAAAAAAAATCAAAGAGTAATCATTTTAAATCCAATACTTTTTATTGAGTTCTAATATAATTTTTTTTATGCGAAGTATAATTTGTAACTTTGATCTTTAAAATGCTTTATTCTTTGCATATTTTTTAATTATTTTATGGTTTATTTATTTTGAGAGTTACATCTCAAAATGCTTTGAGGCTTAGGCTTCGCCTCACAATGACAAAACGCCTCAATACTGAATTGCGCAATTTAAAACCTTATACTAAACCAATATTTTTATAAATTTCATATTTAAATAAAACACGTAATAATATACAATATGGGCCATGCATATTTCTAAAAAAACATCATAAATTTGTTGAATTTAACCTTAAAGTGTATGAGTTCGGATTTATATTATTTACTATTGATTAATACCCTTTTAACTAACATAATTATTTGACTACAAAAGATATTAATTAAGAATAAATTTTTTTTTATACCCATACACTTTAAGTAATATTTATCTCCTTCCCCCTTCTAACATTGTCTCGCTTAGCATAGTGGCATTCTTTCACTTTATGGCTTAATAAATGGTGTGAATGCTACATTCTTTAATTATTTTTGCAATTTTTTCTTTTAATTAATATGTAATTGTGTATTTTAAGCATTCTTTTACAGACCTTAAAGATTTTTTTTTTTTAAATTCATTGAGTCGAAACCTTCGTTAAATGGGATACAATTAGATTATAGTTTTATTGGAGACCATTGTAAATAAAGAGAAAATTGGTGAACTCACTTTTTGAATGCATCGTTCTCAAATTTTTATTTTTTACTATTGATTAATACTCTTTTAATTAATGTAATTCTTCAATTAAAAGGTATTAATCAAATACAAGGGATAAAAGTCTAATGTCCATACATTCTAAAGAGTAGTTGCTTCTTTTACCCTTGTATAAAGCCATTTTTAGCGATGGTTCCGGAGAAAACCATCTTTAAATATGTTGTAATGTACCGTATCTAGCGCGCTACGCGTACATTTAGTGACATTTTAAAAACATTAATGTGTTAATCAATCGTCTTAGTGACCGTGGCCCGTGCTTTTACGTTGAAAGCAAGACATAGAGCTCACCGATTGCATCACAGTTGTTAAATCTTTCCTCCGTTATTTCCTTAATCCTGTTGAAACACACACACACATATATATACATATATATATATATATATAATTTACACTGTAGACTATTCGCCTAATGATTTGTAGCTTTCCAATATCAGGAAGGGAGAATATTAAATTGATTTGGGAAAGTTATGCACTTCCACTTGCAATCTTATCAAAACACCCTAAAGTTTTATGCAGTTTGAATTTGGGAAGCCTTCGGGACCTATATTTATAACAAATCGAAAATGGTTAGGTTAATTCTTTTTCAAAAACGTTATCCGTAGCATCAGGAGCAACTCTTGTAATTCTACCACCGTTAACGCTATCGCTCCTGCTCCAAGTTATGGTGTTGTCCGCAGTTGCAGTTACTACAATGTGAATCGATTCCGATTGGTTTCCAAAGCTCTCTGAAGGTGTTAGCTGATTCATCTTCATCTCTTTTCCTTTTCCCCATAGCACGAAATACAACCCGAATACAATCAACACTGCTGCTAATACACTGTTACGAATAGACAATAAACAAATTATGAATTATTAAGATCAAAGCATATATCGAGACATGATATATAGAAAGCAATGTTGTTTATGATTAGATACATATATCGGTCGATAGATCATGCCATTACCGCAGCATACCAAATATTCTTTAAGCCTCGAATAAAAAGAAAAAAGGATACGGTTTTTCAAGAAGCAATCTATGTACATATGTAACGATATATATATATATATATGTATATTTTTGTACCTTCCAAGGTGCAACTTCTCGTTGAGCACCAGAGAGCCAACAATAGTTACAAGAACCAGCATGAGGGGGTTGAAAACAGACGCGTACAATGGACCTTTCTTTTGGACACACCACGCAATGAGTGTCATCATTAGTCCAGACGCCACAGTACCCTATCATAAAAAAATATATATAAAAAAAAAGTTCATCTATTAATGCATTGAAGACCATTGCTAGATTAATAAATACATATCTATATATAAGCGCGTAATATACAAGAAGAAGAAAAATCATATACGAAATTGATTTTATCTTGCGAATATAACAGACACACAGATACATAAATACAAACACGTGTAGAGATATAAACAGACATATGTTATATGTGTCCTCACGCTTCTGTTTGACTTTTTATTGTTGGGAGGTAAACATCATATGAATTGGGAAAAATATTACTTTGCGGGTACGTGTATTGTATATATATGTGTGTGTGTGTGTGTGAAGATAATGTCTTACCGAGTATGCAACAGTGAGAAGCCTAATATTCCAACCTAGCTTCCATTGGCTCCAGTCTCTCTCGGTGCAGAGGGCGAAAATTATAGTCTGGATGGTTGCCATAATCGACATAAGAGCTGTGCTTGAATAATAGCAGGGATATTTCTCACTCATTTTAGCCTGCAGTTTATGAGCCAGAAAATTTCAGGAAAAAAACAATCCCCAATTAAATGGACAATTGTACTTTAACGCTTCTTGAGTAATATAGTTAGAAGACTCGTATATTTACATTTTTTTTCTTATGTTTTAGCAAGTTAAAAAAGTCAGATGATTTGTATTTTTTTAATAAAAAGAAAATAAACAAAGAAAGACACAAAAATGACCTGAAGGATGAACCAGACAGAGAAACAAGCAGAACTGGCGACAGCCAATAGACAGCCCAAGACATGATTTCCAGACCCAGCTGCTGCATCATGCGACGATGCCATGTTGTTATGGTGATGATCCCGATGCAAAAGGTCGACGTGCGTTGACCAAATGTTAATATCTACTCCTTTGTAGAAGGTTAGAATCAGTGCTCCACCGACTCCCAGTAGTGAACCCAAAACCTTAGCCTTCCCTCCCGGGGTTCCAAAATTCAGCTTCTCTAACCTAATATGCATTTAAGATTCAAGAATTGAATTTATTATACAACACCAATTATGTGGCAATTACTACATGGTTTTTTAGAATTGATCGTACACATTTGCTTTAATCACCAATAAAATTTTTTATTAACTTATTACAGGTGGTATTTACTATAATTCTAGAGGATCAAACAAAGAAAGAAAGACACCGGATGTCTTGCCAGATGTATATATGGACATATATATATATATATATATATGTGTGTGTGTTGGATCAGATAGTCTATTAGTCGTAATGATACTTTTTTTCGTTTAAAAGAAAAAATAAAGAAGAAAATAACAATAGTTATTTGTTTTAAGCTTTGTTATCAGTAATGCCAATGATTACTTATCAAATGAAATAAATGTTTACCTGAATATGACGGCTAAGAAGAATGTTATAGCAGGAATCAGGTTGGTCATGGCCGAGGCTAATGTTGCCGATGTTAAAACTAAGCTTTCGAGATATAAATTTTGTGGCAGTGATGCCCTGCAGATATCATTCAAATAACACAGGTTATTTATGTCTTATATATAATTACTTTGCTTTTGTCCATTTCTTAACTTATTTTGGACGGATACGTTTCTATTTATTTAAAAAAAAAAAACTAGAGAAGTATTTTTTTCATCATGCTTTTTTGATAAGATTCGAAAGTTGCATATTTATAGAACGAGTGAGTTCAACATATATTACAAATTCAAAATTTTAAAAATAATTATCACTTTATTTTGCTATTGCTAAAACAATTTAAGAAATTGTTAAGTTCAGTTCCACTATTATAAAGATGTTATGTAGTGTAATCAGTACTTATTAATGCAAAGAAGATTAAACTATTTTGACCTTGTATATCCTATATGACCAAGTAAATATGATTATTTTTAATGCAAAAAGTATGCATATGTAATTTTTTTCCCCCATAAAAGGTGCATGTAGCCAAGCAGTCTGGACTGCGCCTTTTAAGTATAATGCAAACCCGTCTACATTCACAGCGAATAATATTAGAGAGAAAGAGGGAAATAGACCAAGATTGGAGATAAATTAAAATTAATAGGCCAATAGTTTACATAAGTTAATAAATAGACCAAATTACTGTTTTCGTCCATAACTTGTCTAGTTATGAACCATAACTTGACAAGTTATTGTCCATAATTCACGGTTTTTGTCCATAACTTGTTTGGTTATGAACCATAACTCGACAAGTTATGGCCTATTAATTTCTATTATTAAAAATTAGCCTATATACTTTCTTAAGCTTTTCATATTGGCCTATTTTCTACTATTTCTGATAATATTATTAGCTACAACTAATTGCACTTTTTTATTTCTTATTTACGTAATATTACTTCACATTCTGATTACAAACATGACCTAGTGGTAATTTTACGTGAAGAGTTGGAATCCGCTAAATTAAATATATATATATATATATATGTATATTACTTCACATTATTTAGAAGTAGAAATAGAATTGCATAACGTAAGGTCTGTTCAGTTCGTTGATTTAAGTTTTTAATTCGAGTTGAGATGTAACTTTATGTGAGAATTTTTTACTGTAACAAAAACGTTAAATGTGACTGTTTTTTAGAACTTTTTATTATAACAAAACTTAAATTATAAACTCGAATCAGTGAAATAAATAGGCGAATAACCTACGTGTTTTGCATATCTTTTTCGCAGTGGGTGGGTGTTATTTGGTCAACATGATCCACTCCTCGCTGCTTTTGTCTTTGCTTAAAGTTACCAAAGACTCACGTAAAAAGTTGTGTGCTAGCGCATTAATTATTGAGATTGCTCTTGATGATATGCGTTGCCTATTTGGCAACTATTTTGCTTCTAACTGAAAATCACCACCACTTTAAAATTTTAAAAACGCAATATTACTAATATCTTTTTTATACATATTTCAAATAGCGACGCTACGAAACTTGATGATTTTTTTTTCTTTTTTTTTCCTGAAGTGATAGTAGTGAATTTTTCTCTATATAGTATATATACACTTTCGATAATCAATGTTTTAAAGAGAAAAAGAAAGATGATATATGATATCATACTTACCCGAATAACCCACATAAAAATGCCTGAAAAAGAATCGTCCAAGTCAGCTTTCGCCTGCTTTTCCTGTTAAATTTGGCATTTTATAATTAGTTTACACAATTATTCACCGAATTGTGCATTATATGTACATTTAAGAAAATGTACTATCATCGAATTTATAATTTTCTCCCATTTACCTTTAACTGCGCGATTTCTAGAATTTCTAGAGAACACTAGCAGAATAACATTTTGTTTTGCTTTTTGAAAGCTCTTTTTTTTTTCTTTTATTTTTTTTTTTTGCCTCATGAAAGAATTACATAAAACCAGGATTTTCAAATTTCCTCTTTTACCTTTTAGAGAAAAATTTCATGGCAACATTAATGTTCCCATTTTTTCCGCTTATGTTTTGCAAGGCTTTTTTCATTCGAAAAACTTAAAAAAGGAAAATCCTGAACTTTCTTTCTGGAAAAGGGGGGAAGAAAGGGAAAAAAAAAGCTCTTTAATATCTGAAAAACATGAACTTATTACTATTTCTTGGAAAATGATGAAAAAACAAAAACAAAAGCATAAGAAAAGGTAATTACTTTCTCCCCATTTTACTTGACGTCTATAAAAATTCTGCTATAGCACAACTCCACCAGATCGATCGAAAGGGAATTTAAAAAAAATGAAAACAAAGATTAATTCGACAATATTACCTTTCAATGAAAAGGGCAAGGGGAAGAATGAAAGCAGTAGCGAAAACTAAGCGGTAAGCAACAATGACCTTCAAATTCATACCATCATTAGCGGCCAGTTTGTACAACACATTCACGCCGGTAAATACAAACTGAACGACTACCATTAACAGAGCCGGCTTAAGTCCATGCAAAGCCTCACGAATTTGCTGATTCCCCATATATATATATGTGTATGTATGTCTATGGACTTCCGAGAGAGGTAAGAGAGATAGAAATATTGGCTTTGTGAATATGAAATGAATATACTGGGAATACGGCACGTTCTGGTAGCTAGCTAGTGAAGGGGCTATTTATAATTTAGAAGGGTTCTAGAAGTATGTGTTAGGAAAGGTGGGTTTTTTATATTGTTGGCCACATATTTATTTAATAATTATATTAAGTTATTTAATTAATTAGATTAATTAAGTGATCTAATTATAGAAAGTCTAAATAGTCTCCTAACAGGGTATTGACTAAATTAGTGGATACCATGTCACGACCCCAAGGATAGGGCCGTGATTATTAGGGTTTAATTTAAAATTTAACTTAATTAAACTGGACTGTTTAACGAAAATCACAAAAAATAAATACATAAATATCAATATAGTTTGCTCCGGAGACTTTCTTTCACAAATAATATTTAAAACAGTCCATAAAGTTCAAGAAAAATAGTACAACTCTGGGACAATGTTGACCAATACCGTTTACATACTGAAATACAGTACATCTCAGAATTTAAAATTGTAAATCTGAAACAAACGTACGGCTTCGAATCTCACGCCTTCAATCCATTAGCATCCACTTGTCACGCTGTAAATCTAAACCGCTAACTCTGAAGGAGGAGTTTAAAACATTGAAAATATAGAAAAGTGAGCGGAAGGCCTATTAGGACATAATCTTATAAAACATAATAAATAAGGTACTCACGGTCCGAAGACATGCATCCGGAACCGATCATCCTTTTTTTTGAAAAGAAAATACTCACATAGTAGTAGAAATTATATGTAATATGAAAGTATGCAGATTATCATACCACTGAGCAAGGAGTGGTAAAATGTCTTTCTAGTGAAAAAGTGCAGAGCCATAATTCAACTAAGCAAGAAGTTGATCCGTACGGGTTTCGGGACCTGCCCCCAAGGATATGATTCCCATATTCCGATCTCTATGGCCACCATGCGTTGTATCATTCCTTAAAATATTTCATTTTAAGAGATGAATAATAGCATTATTCATGCTATTTCCTTTAAAATCATTTTCTTTCAACATGTTTTGTTCTAAAACATTTTCGTTGGCCAAAATCATTTAAAGTGAGGCTAACAATGATATGGACAAGAATATCCTACCTTTTTAGATGGCAAAAATGTAGCTATCTTCACGTAACTCTAGCCCCGCTTGCCTTAAAGCTTTAATACTCGATCTTCTCTACTAGCTTTATGACAAAAGCAGTGTCTTAGGATATATTTATCATTCCTAAAACGAATTAAGCTCACTCATGTTTAATTGTTTACTATTAGTGTGCATTGACTCAAATCCAAGTTTCACAAACGTGTTTATAATCAGTTTGAGGGTCCTTTAAGGATTGAAATCCAATTCATGGGTTTGGTTTCCTATTTAATTTCAGCTTAAAAACAAGTTTTTTTAAAGAAATTTCGGCAGCATGCCGGCATAAATAGGAAAAATGCCAAACCTGCAAGTCAAGTTCAATTTCAAAATAAATTCTCCATAATTCATCAAAACCAATTTCTAATCAATTCAACAAGTCCAATAACAGAAAACCCCCAAATTTCATTAAATTTTAACAACAATTTTTCAAATCCAAACGCTAAGTCAAAATTATTCAAATCTAACTAAAATTAAACTTTCTCAAGCTTAAGATTCGAATCAAAGAGTGGGTTTCAAGGGGTTTTACCTCAAATTAGTTGATGGAGCTTTGTTTCCCTCAGTTTCTCTCGTTTTCATTTTTTTTTTGTGTCTATCGGCCAAACTGCCGAGAGAGAGAGAGAGAGAGGGAGAAAGAGATACTAAGAGAGAGCAAGGGAGAGAGAGAGAGACCGAAGAGAGAGGTGGCCGGAGAGAGGGAGGGAGTGGTGGCCGGCGGTGAAGGAAGAAAGAGAGAGAGGGAGTTGTCGTGGAAGAAGAAAGAAGAAAAGGAAAGAGAGAGAGAGAGAGAGAGGGGGGCTGGTCTGGCAGCCACGGGAAGGGAAGGGAAAAAAAGAAAAAGAAAAGAAAGAAAAGAAAAGGAAAAGAAAGAAAAAAGGAAAAGAAATGAAAATTAAAAGAAAATACATTAAAATTAAGTGTATTTTTAAAAAATTTTGGGGTGAAAATTGAAAAACTAAAAGTAATTTATAAGTCCTTAAAATAACTCAAAAACTTAATCTTTAATCAAAAGATTAATTAACAAAATCAGTTTTAGGCACACTAATATACAAAATTAACATAACTAAACATGTTTCATTTTGGAGGGCGTTACATACCCATATTGACCTAATTAAGTTTAATGGGAGCCTAATAGGGCAGTATATAAAGAAGCTTAGATTATGGTCCCTAATACGTCAAATCATTCGGCAGTTTTCATTCTTCCCCATCTAGAGAGAAAACACTCCATTAAGGAACTAGGGAGATTTGACTGAGGAAGGCAATAACCGTTGTGCTCATAATCTCATAGAATATTACTGGAGATTCAAGGCTGCATCAATGGAGACATGTATTTGTTCTAACTTATTTTCTTAGTAATTTGGTGTGATGATTCCTGGAGTGTGGAATAAGGATTTAAAGATCTAACAAGTTGTATTAGAGCGGTCATCACATTAATTATTGAGAGAATTTTCATTTCCAATATCTCTGGTTGAATAATCATGTGAATTTTTTGATGATTGATTTTAATCAAATTTGTTGAATAAATTCAGAATTATTTATTATTCACAAAATTGATATTCTGAAAAATGAGGATTAAGGAAATTTGGTCAAAGAATTAATTAAAAGAAAGTTTTTTTCCTTCGTTGTCTTCTCTTTCGGGAGAAGGATTATGGCCAGCGGCTGTCTTGGGCGCCGGCGCTGCGGAATCAAGGGCGCGGCCGTTAGGCTGCGCCGATGGGGTAGTTGCGGCTTACGGGCTACGGCGGGATGCAATACAGCGGCAGCCAAGGCCCCCGCATAAGAAAACGTTATAAAAAATATATATTTGTTGCCCGTGGCAAGCTTGCCGCCGCCAGTGTCTAGATTCCCGGGCACAGCCGTTAGGCTGCACCGGACAGTTATTGCTGCGGCCGGTCGGCCACGACATTGAGGACTGGCGGTCTGGTGGCCGCCAATGGAGAAGAAGGGTCGCATATGCGACCTTAAGGTTTCCCCTAATTTTGGGCTTCGGCCTAGAACAAAAAAAAAAAAAAAGGGATACGAGCCACTTCAGGCTTGTGACAGAAAAGAGAAGCACAGGTCCAAGGGCCTGTGCATTAGAACTAAGGGTCGCAGGTTATTACCTGCGGCCATAAGGAAAGTGATTGCTAATTTTTGACAATTTTTAGGTTTATTTTAAACCTAATTTTAGAGATTTTGTGCATTTAGGCAAATTATTACCCATTAAGAAATTAAGTGTAAATTAATTAAAGATTTAATTAAATAAAATGAAACTGTGGTTCTTTATTTTTGTTTTATTTGATTATTATTGCACTTAATTGTCTTGTATTTTGAAATAAATTGATTGAAATAATATTGTTGCCAAAGTAACCTCTGTTGTGGATGTTGATTTATTTTAAAATATAAAGATGAGTATACCTATTATTTATGCGAATAATGATCGGCCCAAATGAAGGTTATTATTTGGTCAAATAATGGGTATACCTGTGGTAATAAATATGTGACAATTATAAAGCTCTCCATGTGAGTAATAGTCGGCCCAAAGGAAGGCCATTGTTTAACATGATTTATTGTCAATATTTGATTACTGCGCGGAGAGTACCACTTACAAGCTGATATTTCTGCTCCAAAGACTAAATATCAGTGTTGTGCTAGGTATCTTGAAATGGACCCACCTTGCTTCGAGTTATTTGTTTATGTCATGTATGCATTATATGGTTTGATTATGCTTATGTATGACATGAATGTTGATTGTGAGTATATTTTATTTTTGTTCTTTATTTAAATACCTACTACTGCTATGAATGTTTCTGCTCAAGTTAACGCGATCCCAATGCTGAATGAGATGAATTTTAAAGTTTAGAAAGAGAACATGGAAATCATTCTCGGATGTATGGACTTAGACCTTGCGCTCAGGACAGAGCGTCCCACTGCTACTACGGAAAATCTGAACATGGATAAAATTGAGAAGTGGGACCGCTCTAACCACATGAGTCTAATGATCATGAAACGCTCCATTCCGGAGGCGTTTCGGGGCTCTGTTACTGAAAGCACTAATGCCAAGAAGTTTCTCAAAGAACTTGAGCAATATTTTGCCAAGAATGAAAAGTCAGAAATGAGTAACCTTCTGAATAAACTCATTTCCATAAGGTATAAGGCAAAGGGGAACATACGGGATGTTGGTTACCAAATTGAATTCGGATACGGAACCGTGGCGAGAGGGCGGATCAAGTATAACAAAAATTTTCATAAAACTTTTGTGATACTCTATAGATTATATTAATTTATGTACGAATAAATTAATCACATTAATTTATATATCAAGAACTGAATTAGGAAAAATACCTGGAGGCCGACTCAGATGATAACTTAAGTTCTTTGACCACGAACGATCCTTGCTCCAAAACCTTGTGTTTAGAAAACTAAAGTCTTCCACGTCAATTCCTTGAATCTACGTAGACATGTGTGTGGGCACACTCGAGACTAAAACGGGTTTGATCAAACACTCAAATTTTCCACAAACACCAACGCATGCACAATGTGAAATTTTTTGGGAGAAAAATTTTTTCCTTCTCTCTATAATGGGAATTTCGGCCAGCCAGCCCCCTTCTAGTTAGGTTGAAAAATTGTCACTCGCAATTTTTCATTATATCTTATTTATAGAGTAGAAGTCCAACTTCTAGAAGGAAACAAATCTCTCTCTCCTATTTGAATTTTGAACAAAAATTCTCCTCTACCTTATCTCCTTATGGCCGGCCATGCTAGGGTTTTTAATCCCTGTGTGTGGCGCTAATCTCATATAGGGAAGGAAGAGAAAATC